TCTTTCTGATAGATCACTTCTTGGACTTCGACCTAGCACTTAATCGCATGGGCGTCGCGAGGGATGAGGGGGGAGGGGTCGGCGAGGGAGGCGCCCCCCGGAAAAGCCACCCGAAAAAAAGGAGAGAAAAAAACAGAAAGAAAGAAAGGAAAAGAGGCGCGAAGTCGTATTGCTGTTAATTTAATGAGTGGGTGGGGTGGGGTGGGGGGGGGGGGGCAAATGTCCCTGTTCACCCTCAAAAAATGATAACATGGAGAATATGTTGGAAAAGAACAGGGATTTTTTTTGGGGGGGGGGAATGTGCTTTGCCCCCCTCTAGAAAAATCCTAGCGACGCCCATGCCTTATCATTGGATTCTTAAAAAAAAACACCTGGCTGTATTGCAGCAACACTGATGTCTTCATCTCTCTTCTTCGTTTTCGGCTCTTGGCCGAAACGAAATAGGTACCTCGCCTGACTTGTTACGGCTTCTCATTTTGGGATGACATCATGACAACAACCTGATTAACCGCATATCACCGAGAATGATGTGTGCCTTCCGTAACGCCAGCCTGCAGATTAGCCTGTCATAGTGAAGCAATTAACGCAGTCGTCGGCTGTCCACACACTCGCCCAAATAGTCACCAGGAAGCCATTTTCGATCGTGTTCCCTGAATCTATTTTATAAATTGTAAAGTGTCGAATGGGATGGTGCCAGACTATTTTGTGATTGGGGTGCATTCCAAGCCTCACTTTCAAGTTTGTTTTTCAAATGTGACTTAAAACACAAGGGCGTATTTGTTGAATTGTTTATTAGAGCAGGCTGGTATTAATTTGTAATGAACTGTATGTCATTACTTTCATTTCTACTCGCAAGTTCCAAAAAAATGAAGAGTTTACCTCGCTTTCAATTTAATTTTGCCAACTCGTGAATAAAGGCTATTGTGCTACACGCGAATACCCGGTGAGCATTCATTAAAATTAGCCGACTAATTGTACGCGCTCGCTGGTAATTAATGTATTAAAGACTGCACATCTCATTACTGTGACTCTATAGTGTCATAATTATGTAACACGATATGTGACAGAGGGACCCCCCCCCCTCTTTTGTGGTGGCTATTGTGATACCAGAATCTCAGGAAATCTTTTGAGATATCTAGGGGATGTGTTAGGTAACAATAGTCTACTGATAGGGAGACGGGGGACCCCCCTTTCACATATCGTGCTGGGTATAATTGTATAGTGTGGCCATGCCAGCAGGTCTCGGGTACTAGATGCTGCTCACTTTCAACACTACTGTGCACGCGTTCGTCATTTTTTTTAAAGATGAATCTCGTCAAGGTTCATTAGCATTTGATCCACAACGCCCTCTCGCGGTAACTGCACCGTGTTAGGATGATCGTCACTTATCAAGTATGATACGACTTTGAAAAAATGAATCTATTTTTCGGGATGAAACTCGAAACTAGCACGAGGAATGCATCTTTAACCTAGCTTTATTTCCCGACATATCGCAATATATGCCATGATTGAATGGCGGTCGACCAATTGACTAGCATATTTGGTTCGTATATTTCATTGAAAAAAAATAATAGTTTTTTTTTTTAACTTAATACCAGCACTAAAACAGATAACAATATATTATTGTCACCCCAGTCCAACCTTTCCACTTTATGAATGGAATAGCCAGGTTTGCACGCGCCATATTGTGCGACGCAAGGCGGCAGTCTGTCACTATTTCATGCCGTGGGTATCATGGCAAATGTTGCCACACACCCACATGTAGCGGATGCGTGGCGAAGCATGACATTGTTGGGGACCAGTCCAAATATTAGCTCCCGCGATTTACGAATGGGCAAGCGCACGACGGCTGTTGCGTGTAATGATTACTCGCTCATCAGTACCCACCACTGCCCCCTATCAAGTTACCACCAAATTCTTCGAGCTCTGATTGGATGGGTTTTTTAACATGTGACCCAGGGTCAACATTTTCAGTGGTTTTACCCACAATGCTTTGGAGTCCTTTTATATTATTTGATGAAAAATACAAAACAAAACAGGGCCCTTGGATAACGGTTTCCAGGAACGAGGTGATGATTAAATTTGACGTTACAATCACAAAACCTTCAAAGTAGCCATGTATTGTATTTTTCTTAATGCATTCCTTGAAAATGCACCCGAGTGTCTCATTTTTCAATTTTCATTTCGCCACTTTGAACGGTATTTTGGTACCTTTGTTGGTTTTTCTGCTGATACGAATTTCCATATTTATGAGCAAAAGCGTGATGTCATTTAAGTCAGAAACCTCTGACTACAGCTATTAGCTGTTACAGCTATTACAGCTATTTCAGCTCTTTTCTTTTCTTTGGTGATTGGTTGTTTTAGTACATGACAGTAAGTCAATGAGCAAACTTTTCTAACAAAATGTTGTCCATGAGCAGATTTGTGGGTTCACAATTTGAGCACAAAAAGGCCTAAACTGAACAGTGTCTTCCCGATATGACATCACAGCAACAGCGCCCTCAGTTGTCAGGAAAAGCATGGAAAATGTTTAAAATTAATGTTAATAAGGAAGTGCACCTTTCCATAAGATAAACCCAAAGAGGATGACAGTTTTCTTACATTTAGGCACTAAGAGGAGTAGAAAGTTGCACAAAATGTAGGTAAAATTCATGTCACGGTCCCTTTAAAGGAGATGTAATGGAACATTCTTTACTATCCCTTTTAAAAAACCCGTTTTGCTAATCGCATAGTTTCCAGGAAGGCAATGCCTGTCCAAAGCCTTCCATAAAGATACAGTAAACGTCGATATTTGAGAATAAGTAGGTGAAATCAGACGTTGGGGATATTATTCGTTATACCGAATGCATGTAATGCACAGTCTTTTTACTATGCACTTATAATGGGACACTACCATAGGCCTCTTGAAAACGCAAACCATAATGTTCTTTATAAAAATATCATATATTAAAAGATAATTTGATTTTAAGAATTCATTATTAAAAAAAAAAATAGGTTGTTTCCCCAAACAATTATGGAGACTCTTGCCTACGTATTTATGGCGCTTAACACGAGTCTTATTTTGTTTTCCTTAGTTTCTCTCTCTATACAACGCAACCCTGTTGAAGCTATTATTAATCTTTAGGAAGCCTTTTTAGAAAGACCAACCCTCATTCTATTCAGTTTTACAGGTCCTGATGAATGAAGTCCGCATTGACTATGGAATCAGCCGTTGGGTAGAATTGCTCAGTGAACGACGCATCAAGCCTCTTAGCTCGAGCACTTACGATCCAGAAAAGCTCTTTCCTGGGTCTGAGTGGAGCGTAATTACGGCGGATGATTACCGCGCGCCGGGCCACTCAACAGCCAGCATTCTGTCATAGAACAGTTGTCCGTTTCTGCCATCCAGCCTGCGCGGTTTTTTACTCTATATACGACCAATGCCGTACTGTACTAATCCCCCATCTGTCTGCAAACGCTAGAGTTTATAGTCTTATAGGAGTAGTTCAGTGAATAGGTGGGATTTTAGTTAGCTCTGCGTCCGTCTGTCTGTCGGGCTGTTGGCTTTTCTGTGTAAGCGAAACAAGACGCGTACAGACCCCACTATGGTTAAAGAGTGAACATGAGAATCAGCCGGTTTAGGTCGAAGATCACTTTAAAAATAAGATGCAAAGACGTTTATAAAGGATAATTTCAGTGGAAAAATCTAGTGAAAACTTGATCTTTTTCGACTGAACGAATTCCGCTTTAGGGGGGGGGGGGGATTTTAGATGCTCTGTGTTGCGATCTAAGGAAAAGATGGTGGTGTATGCAGTGCCTTCCTTCATTGCGACGTCTCTTAAAAAAAATTGGGTCTTTTTTTGGGGTGGGGCATGGCCCCATGGTTGGCCCCCTGGATCCGCCCTTGCTCATCAGTTATATTCAACTATCAGTTTCTTTCAATTTCATACGCCGACATCCTTTATTTTAATCCAGTTCTGTAGAGTTTCTTATCAGCTTCACGATGAAAAAAAAATATGTTGGAGTTGATACAGACAGTGCATATCTCGAAATAGACAAGGAAGTCTACATCTAGTTTACATCTCTTATAAGCCCGTTGGAAACGACCAAAGTACTCCATTCTATGTCTTCGAACTGTCGGTATCGCTGTCCAGGAATCAGCCACAGAAAAAAATTCACAGAGACTTGATTAATATTTCCTTTACCATATGCAAAAAACAACAATGCAAGAATATTTTCCCGCCATTTACCCGAACCATCTCCACACTGTGACTGTATTCGTTGTGTTTGTCTTTCTGTCTTTCCCTGCCGTAATTTTTTCAGATAAATTTGTTCTTCTTGGAGACAAAAAAAAACCAGAAAGAAAAACAACAGGTTCATACCAAACGACACTACTCAAAAATGCACGTCAGCAATTAGCTAATGGTTGATGGCTTTTTCGCGTCATTTTTCCCCTCCCGGCATCTGTGCAGTCAACAGTAGCAGATGCATACAGAGATACATTTTCCCCTCATACATTTTTGAGATAATTTGGTGACAATTATTGTTCCCTCTGCCTGGTAGATGCAATGACGATTACAATAGAAAATTTCCACTTTTTTAACGCAAGGTTCGTTTTACTACAGTCTGATTCAACAGTGTGATTATCCGGGCCTGTTGTTCAAGCCAAAAGTAACCCTTTTTTTCTTGGGTGACGAGTTGGAGATTTTAACCGACAGATGGCGCGGCCGGGTCAGCCTGAACCCCGTGAGACCAAAAATGCGCATTTTTCACCGCACCTCGGTGCGCTATATGCAAGCAAGCCTGCGTGCATATACCGCGCGTAAAACCCCCCACCAAACAACACTTTTTGGGGGCTCGCATGACCGGCCAATCAAACATCGTCACTCACGCGCACAGGCTCCGTGTCAACCAATGGCAGCACGCGTTACATATCGGCCGCATAAAACACGCACACTAAAACATGGACAATTTTTCTTATAAGATTCTGCGCGTATTTTGTAGGAGAGGAGATTAGTGGAAGCAACGGGAGTAGCAGTTAAGGTTGAAGCATGTTCGGTCCACCACGTGTTTCGTGAAGAGTAGTGTTTCATCTCCGGTAGATCATACACAATGCTCTGTCTCCACAAAAGCACGGAGATGTTCCCTCTACCGTTAAATTTTTGATGAGAATGTGTTTTATCGGTGTAGCATTTATCGTCACTAATACTCGTGGGCAAGGGCTTTATGTTACGGAGTACTCGTTGCACGCCATCCAGTCATTTGTGTTGTCTTCAGCGTGGTATACAACTATCCATCTTCACCGGGACACTGCGGGTCTGTTTCGTCGGTGATCATTTGATCTTTCCCGCGTCAAACCTGGGTCGTGAACGCTCGCTATGGAGTATAACCGTTTGCGGACTCCTGAAAACTAAGGTAAGTGTGTCCGACTACTTTTTCTGCTTTACGAGTCCTGTTTCCTAAACTAAAATAACTTCATCTTTTACCATCAGCGAACAAGACATGGTTCAATATTTTACTTCCGTTGAATGCTGCGTTGGTTTTTTTAAGCCCTGGCAGGAGCTTTTATACATGGGACTTGGTGGTCGGTGTGTCTGTCCCCGGGAAATTGACCAAAAGTATGGTGTTCCATATGTGCCACCGGCTTCACATTTTTCGGCGTCGCATTTTCCAGCTCTGGCAGGGATCATTTTGATCGATGCAAGACTTTCATGCAAAACTTCTTGCAAACGGCCAGAGCTTATTGTGCACTCGCACTTGTTTTATGCAAAAGGTGAAAACACACTAATCTACCAAAGCCAATAAGGAGGGACCAATAAAACAGTAAGTTTAATGCAAATAAATGAGGACTTTCCGAATCTTAGAATCTCAGATATTGCATTTTCAAATGGCAACAAGGCGATGAAATACGCAATTTCGTTTTTTGTAATAAGGACGTTCATCGTACGCGGTGTGAACTTTGTTACTGATAATGTAGTAATCAACGGATGACGTAGCACCAACCGATAATGTACTAACAATTGACCGATACTGTATCACTAATGTAACACATTATTGACCGATGGTGTAGTAAATTTTACTACACCATCAGCCAATTTCTGTTAACAACAGTCTTGACTGATAGTGTAGTACATTCTACTCCATTATCGGTTAATATTTGTTACATTATCGGTTAGTGATACAGTATCAGTCAATTGTTGTTACATTATCGGTTGGTGATATGTTATCCGTTGGTATCAGTTGTAACAAGCTGTGAGCAACATGGTTTGTTCTGCCTTTATAGTATGAGGCTTAATAGCTTCCCCATGGAAACGACTGGTAAGATACCTTGTTAAGTTTCAGATGGAAACTTTCTTGGAGTTGAAGTATAAGCATAATGATAGAAGCCATACCAAAGTGGTTTAGAGTTGAGAATTTTCAGATTTGTTTGTCCGACAAAATTTCAGTCACCAAACACGTTGATCCATCGAAGTTTGTTAGGCATTTGGGAAAATGGGGCTCTCCAACATTTTTGGGCCCGAACATGAACGTAACGCACAACATAATCTAGAGCTCTTCCGAGCTACCGGTACTTAATATCGTTCATCATGCAATACTTGCATTGCAAGATATACCAAACTTGATTGTGTACTCGGTGGCAAACAAAACAGATTACGGCAATAATTATCACGGTACTATCAGTATCGGTAAACTTATTTTTGAAAATTATTTACTTCAATTGCGGATATGATGTGAGTGAAGGGGGAGGGGGTATAGGACCCCCTCTTTGGCGGCCAAAAAAGGGCAAAAATAAGTGAGTCAAAAATTATCCGCTCATATGAATTCTCTAAATTATGCCCAAGAACGCAGGAAAAATATCTACAATTCAAATATTTCCAGGGGAGCAGTTTCCAGACGCGCCTAGCTAGCTGGGGCGTGCCTTGGTGGCCCGCGAGTTCCTCTGGCAGTGGCACCCGTTCACATCCAACCCTCAACCCCTTGAGTCAAAATGAGAGTAAATCGTATGTTAGATTCACTCATTGGAATGTAGGGTTTCACACCAATCTTCTGACACCCTATATGTTCCAACTGCACATATTCCTGTCCTTACCCCTATCCCTACCCCTATCACTAACCCTAACACTAACCCTAACCCTAACTGGGAGTTATACATTCTTATGTGCGGGTTGTCGGAACATAGGGGTGTCGGAACTTCGACAGAGCAGTCACCGGAATTTAGAGAGTACAACGTAGCTGTAGTTACTTCAAGATTTTCTCTTGAGCTCACGTTTTCTGAAGACTACAATCCTGGCCAAATCTTGCTGGGCCCCCACCCCCCGGCCCCCTGTCAATGTTGTGTCATTGTGCGGTGTGTGCTCCATCAGCTGGAGAGAACAACATTGACCGGGGGAGCGGGGGAGTGGGTGACCGTGGAAGGCTAAGATTATTTCCAAGTGTCCCATCCATTTTGGCCGGGATTGTAGCCTCGACAGACCCCCAACAGTACAACCTGTGAAATGCCTAGCTGCCATCGTCAGCCAGAGCGGAGATCATATCGTGCGTCGACCGGTGTGTGGGTAATGCGATCTGGCATGGTGATAGTCGCTAATTGCATTAAGCTAGCGTTGATCCAACGACGGATAGCAATCAACGGCGAATCAGTACCACTTTGATGATTTTTTTGAGTGTCTTCAACAGAATCAATAGATGATTCTCCGAAGTATGAATATTAAAATCTCTCAGTTATTGTTAATGATAACACTATCTGGTATATGGGGAATGGATTCAATTCATCAAAAGTAGTGTGGCGTAGTAGCTCGCGAGTTCGAAGAACCACATTGTGAGAAACGTTCATTTTTAAAAGAGGGGGAAACCTCAAGAAATCAGGCAGGGACTGAAAAACTGAATTCACTTACCCACCTAAGCGGGGTTCGAACCATGGCCTATGAGGTGGAAGGAGGGGATGCCACGGCGCCAACCTGACCCCCCTCCAGCTTCCCATGCTCGTCTGCTTGGGATTAAGTCGTGGGCTTACCTTAGAAACCCAACCAGACAAGTATAATGTTTAATTTTGAGGAAACTGATTTGAATAAGACTCATTCGGAACTTCAAAACATCCGGGGTCAATTTCAAGGAGCTAATAAATTCATAACACAACTTAAAGGCAGTATACAACATTTGCTTTTTCTATAGTTTTCGTAAGTTTGCTCTTCCCGGGCCACTGTTTGCATGAAGAAATGTATTTTATTTTGTCAGTAACTGACATGGGCTGACATTTTCCGTGGCGTCTGCTAACGTCAAGCACCCCCTTTCCCCCAAAAGAAGAAACAACCGTACGTCAATCGTTGAAGAAATCTGAACCTGAAAAAAATCCTCAATCAATCAATCAATCCATCCATCTATTGTGAGTTTGGGGTCTGTGTCGATTTTAGTAGTTACAACGAACATTTGGATGAAATTCGACTTGCATCTTTAAATCCTCTGTTACTAGTCACAGAAAGTGTGCGTAGAAGCTGGCACGTTATCTATCTACCGCATCTTCATTTTGCCAGAAGCAACTTCATTCGGAGGAAAAAAAATCGCAGGCCGCGATGCACTTTTTCTGTTGAATAATTGAACCTTTTCAGAGGACGCGCGCATAAATAAACAATATTTAGGATAAAAGGAACACTAAATAATAATCTCTTCAAGTATAGTGAACGGAGTAAATCTTTGTTGGCACGCGTTGTTAAAATAGAGATCGCTATGTCTACTGCTGGAAATACAATTGAAGATAAGATTTAAGAAAAAGTGCAACTTGTAGAACTACGACAAAGTATAATAATTTTTATCACGTTTTGTTTTGTTTTGGTTTTGTGTATATGTATATATTCTTTAAAATAAGCACATTTTGATGTTTACTTAATTTGAAAAAAAAAGATATCCGAGGTTACTCAACTTGAAACTGACCAAAATGTTGCAATCAAATAAGTAAATACATCAATGAAATGTTTATAATGAATTAAATTGTGAATATTATTATTATTATTCTTAATTATTTTTGGTAATGAAACCAAGGATTCCTCAAAAGCGCCCTTGGCATTGTAGTTCGCTAGCCTGAAGAAACATGAGAAGACAATGAGACGCAATTACAGTTTTAGAGGTGGGAAGAAAACCCCAGAAGAAAATTCTGGGTAAAACCCACGGAATCAGGCAGTGACTGAAAACCCAATCCACATATAGGACCAGGCGGGATTCGAACCCGAATCACAGCGGTGGAAGGCGAGGAAAGTACCGCTACGCCAACCTGACTCCCTTGAAGAAGAAAATTAATGGATACATTCCCAGAAATTAACATACTCATACCAAAAGACTCACAATTATGCATGTCTTAATAATGATGATCTGTTTCACGTCCGCCTGCATGTTAATTACTTTTTATGGTGTAACATTATTATCCTGGAATTACAGCCTCCTTATCTTTTTACCCTCGGGGGTGATCCGCCAACCGTGAAAGTATGCTGTAGACAAAGCTCACACGGCCCTCCACAAATAAAACTCTGTTTCTTGTAGGACGTAGGCTGACAATTCGGAGTAGGGTTCTTATTTGTTTTCTTGGATAATTCTATTGCGAACATTATGCGACCAGTTATCTTTGGGCGGTGACTCCAGAGTTACTGGTTACGAATTTCAAATATTAGTATCGACATCGAGGGTCACAGCGCTCATCTTTGTCGAGAGAATTCAAAATGAAATGGTCTTCAAGGTGCTACAGTAGCTTAGCACTGAGAGCCTCGTTTTGGATGTGACAATAAACGCTTACATTTTGCATCCCCGTAGTTAAACGTTTCCTCGCTTTCATACTGGCAAAGGCTGATCGAAAAATGGTTTTGTAAAATCAGAGCCAATTTGTCAGTGCGTAGAAACCAATATATCTTGTGGACAAGATGATGTGAGGAAAGAGTTTATATACCATCTCAAATAATCACGGAGCCAGTATGGGTCAGCGGTGTGTCTTTATCTACACTTGGAACCTGTGAGAATAATATTATAGATAGGTTTCGCTTGATATTAGTTAATTAGTTATTAATCATGTAACTTTGAAAAAGTCTTCATTTTGTTGTGCGTACGTTTCCAAGTAAGGCCGGAAACGGAAAATATGGCATAATGGACTCACTCTGGAAGTAAATCCAAATGTTGCCGGGTTCGGGGGCGGATCTAAATTTCAAGAAACGGGGGTGGGGTGGATGGAGGGGATGATATGAAAGGGGGTTGGGGGTCGGTTGAGTGCGGCCTGCTAGGGGAGGGGGGGTCTGATGGGGGATGGTCCCCGGCAAATTTTGAAATCTATGGTGCTTTCTCCTACATTCGAAGGCAATTTGAGAATATATTTATATATTTAGGAACTTTAACATTCCACTGAACGGGAGGGTTGCCCCCCCCCCAGATCACATACT